CGGGGATGTCGAATCCGTAGACGTATTCTACGGAGGTTGGGTTCGAGTCTCAACCCCCTAGTAAAGCAAGGCTGGGTTCAAGTCCCGACCCCATACTAGGGCGTGGTGAGGTGAGGGGTATAGGGACACCTATATTCCGTTGTCATTGGCTCTTGGCCGGGGAGGCTAACTTAGGCACACCGCTAAGTGGGGGGATGCCCCCGGAGCCATGGTCAACAAGTCGTAGGATAAAACAAGACGTTCGATGTGGGCATCGAACTTCTTCTATGGGTGGTGGAGTTGTAAGGAACCAACTCGCCGAGGTGTCATAGGCTAAAGGAACCCCAAAAGCATGACCAAAATGACAAAGAGTTCATTGGATGGGACCAAGTCGAAGATTGAGTCCAAGACCGACTCTAGGACCGAGTTCGAGATAGAGTCCGAAATCAAGTCCGAGACCGACTCGGGGACCGAGTTCGAGTCCGAGTTCGAGACCGAGTTCGAGACGGAGTCCGAGATCCGAAATTGCATCCGAGACCAAGTCCGAGGTCGAGTCCGAGGTCGGGTCCGAGATTGGGTCCGAGATCGAGTCCGAGATCGAGTCCGAGACTGAATCCGAAGTCGGATCCGAAATCAGGTCCGAGATAGAGCCAGAGACTAAGTCCAAATACTAATACAGGTCAAGGGGTGAAAGCCCAAAGCGTGCGTCTCCCAGGGGGGGGGGGGGCTGCAGGGGGTTCCAAAAGTATAGTAGGGATAGTGAGGTCCAGGAACCAGTCTTGAAGGAACTCTCCAGTGGTGCTTCCAAACTAACTTGAGGTTGAGACTGGGGCCGAGGGGCCTTAGGTGGGAGTGAGCATGGGCTTGAGTGGTGCTGGAGGGGCCACCCAGGGAAGTGCTCAAGAGCAACTCCCACTCCCGAAAGGGAAACCGACTGCGGTGCTCCCGGCTCATGTGGAGTGGTGCCCCACTTGAGTACCTTGTGGCTCATTGGTCCTCGCCCTCCCTAGGGGCTTGGGCCTTCCCTTCGGGATGGAAGTGGGGGGGTAGAGGTACCCATACCGGGCCGTTAGGCCACGGTGTTTCGCCCCGACGTCCCGAAGCAAGTGTTGCACCCAAGACTTGGGATTTAGAGGGTCCCATGATCAAGTCTTATGGTACCAAGGGGTGTTAGGAATCTGGAGGCTTGGTGTGCTTGGCTGCTTGTGCCTGCGGGGAGTGTAGCCGAACCTTAAGTCCAGTCTAACCCGGGGAGGGGGATTGGGAGAGATTTGGGAATCCGTAGATGGATGGCTAACACTCCATTGCTCGTGCAGTGAGTAACTGAAACCAAGTAGGACCAAGTAGGAGCTGGTACCATAGGTGAGAACCTTGGCGAGGGAACTTAGCACAAGCCAAGGCAGAGTTGGTCGGATAGACAAGGTAAGCTGGCAAATTGGAAAGGAAAAATTTGTGGCTTACAATGTAGCACACGTGAATTTGGAGCTGAACTTCAAGCCCGTTACACTATGAACCTAAGGTCTGATACAATCCCACAAGCACCAACTCCCCGTATCTAACACTTGCACGCAAAATGGTGTCAAACGGTGTTTGGCATGATTTTAGCCTAACGTGAGGAGGAGGGTACTCCACCAACTAGAGCAGCGTGGAGCTTGACCTTAGACCCAAGCCAAATGCAAAACAAGGAGCAACACAGTCTAGCAGAAGCCAAACTAATATCTCAAGTGGTCGGACATGCATTCTAACCACTATCCCTACTATACATTTGAAATCCCCCACAGGACCCCCCCCCCCCCCCCCCCTCCTTCCCCAGTTCCCCCGCTCCCCCGCTCCCCTGCCCTTCTTTCAGGAACACATGCTTTGGGCTTTCACCCCAAGCCTCCCTTAGTACCAAGAGTTAATCTTTGGGACAAGCTCAAAACTTACTAGATATGGAATGTTCTTAAATTGCGAATTTGGACATGGGGCAAACACTATTGAATTCAGGACAATCTTTATATTCCATAGATATGTCAAATGAGAAAATCTAGACACTTTCCATAAATAACATTTGGGACCGAAACGAGACTAACAATGATAGTGAGGGTGTTTGGCAAACATGATAAGCTATCATTTGATGATATTGAGAGACTAATCTCAATATGTAAAGGTTCTTACCAAGTGAGTGTAAGACAGAGAAAAAACGAATTAAAAGGCAAGCAATGCAACTTTAAAGTAAGATGCTATATTGAGAAGTTAGCCTAGAGTGAGTGTAATTTCAGCATTTAAAATGCCTTTCACTACCTTCTTTTTATCCTTGTCATTTAGCTTTAGTATAGGATTTTCCTTTCACATTAGTGGTAAATTCATGTCAACCTGTAAAGTTGTGAGACTCTCTATGTTAAAATCACTATTTTCCAAATTGACTTGTGGTTGCAAATCTTGGAGTTATTGAGTGATTTCTATGCTAATCTTTTTCTTTTGGTGCTATTAATAGTTGGGGATGATTTCTGCTTCATCATCACTCCCTTCATCTTGGCTTTCAAATTTAACCTTTCTTCGTTAGGCTCTAATTATGACATAGACGCTAAGTAGCTTTTCTATATTTGATCATTCTACCTCAATGTATCTAGTTATAAATTGCGTATCCTTGGGAGGCTTATCATTCTTACTTGATAATTCAACTTGATTGTATGGCCTAGGATAGTGAATAGGAGTCTTATCTTGATCATACTATTTTGACTTTTCATAATTTTTAAGTCTATTATAACTTCTAGACTGATCATATTCTCTAGGCCGATTATAGTATCTAAGCCTATTTTCCTCATGGCTAAGTGGATAATCTAAAAAATTACCCTTAAGTGGAAAAGTGTAAAGTTTCCTCAACTTCACCGTAAGCTGCAAGTGCCATCCCCATGAAGTGAGTAGTGGGGATAATCCCAAGTCATAGGTAGAAAATGGTGCCATGCTTCTTGGCCAGTGCTTGGAGGGATTGGTGAGGCAGTCTTCCCAGGAAATGGAGGTGGCCAATTAGTGGTAGTCTGAAAGATGGGGATGGTGGTAACCACAACTGCTTAAAGAGGCCTCGAAGTACTGGGAGCAAGATCATGAGAAGCACGGTGACAAGCTCCATCAAATGGGAGCAAAGAAGGGAATTTGGAGGGAGGTTCCATGGTGGCAACTATAGTTGGGACTTCAAAAGGATCTGATCGCATTTTGGAAAGGCATTCTGGCAAACATGCAAGACAAACATTGACTTCCATATCACAGTTAGAGCATGGCATTTGCACAGCTTCCAAGGTAGGTGTCACGAAATATTATAGCAAAGATATACAAGATTCATGCATTTCATCATGCTAAAAGCTCGCTACTGACGATGCTACTTTGATATCAGTAATAAGTCAGCAGCAGAAAAGTGGTGAGCCAAGAGATTGCCCGGAGGTATGGCCAGGACTTCCATTTGATTCGGGACGAAGAGCATTGGATGGTCGTGTGTAGAGTGGAGCAAGGGGTGGAGTTGAAATACTTGGAGACAGGACTCGTCCACCATATGGGAGCGTCCAAACAACGGTGTCCAGCTCCTCATGAACTTTGGTCGAGACGTGTGGATTATAATCTCTCTGAAGGTCCACTCGAAAAGAGTATCAGTCCCATGATCTGTAACACAAAACACTGGCGTCAATGCAAAAGCTCCAGCATAAGGTCGGATCGAGCTTTAGCTCTGCACTTTCTGGAGACTGCTCAAGCAGACAGCTTTTAATAGCTGGTGGAATTGACCATCATGAGAAATTTTTGGACCTTTCAAAGAGAGTTAAATTAAAGGTATCAGAAGGTATTTTCATTGTGGTCTGATTTTTTCTCTTGCCTATAAACGCAGCACCATTCATGCAGTAGCTACAGCTCCAGTACTTCCCTGCTCATTGCACTCTTCTTTTTATGCATTACAACTCAAATGTTTTGATGATCAAGAAGTCCATATGGTGGCGTTGATCAGTAGTGTGACTTTTCTTAGAAATTTTTGTCTTTGGTTTATAATAGAAATAACCATATCACAAACCAAATAACAAAACTAGTGATAAAAAATTAAGCTATAGACTATAAACGAAATTGTGAAATATCATTCATGCCTATCATACATTTTTTGTTGACTAAGCAGAGATGCCATGGTCGTTAGATGTCCTTGACACGAAGAGAACCCGTTCTATAAATTTTGAGTGTTGAATTTGGGTATATACGCTGATTCGAATCTTTTGGTCTTTTTCCCACCCATAATTTTAAATCCAGGTCAGACTTATGCGTCAATTGACCCTTGCTTATATACCTACATCAGTCATCGTTCTCCTAGCTATGACATCCTGGAAGATAGTTCCACTTATGAGGTAGGTACAGGAGTGGGGTAGAGATAACTCAAATGCTGGCTCTACACTGCTTTCTATCATCTCGCAAGTTCTTATGGAGATCAAGGAGGTGGAATTTTGAGCAGCGGCAGGGGGTCTGCCTAGATAAAAAATCTCAGTATTACTTCCAGCAGGCAACAGTTCCATTTGCAATGTATTTAATAAGTATAAGTATTAGTGCTGCTACTTGCTTTCCTGGATGTCTGGGTGCGACCCTCCAATTAAATCTAAAACCTACAATGAGAAGATATCAGCTGAGATCCTGGCGTTTGCTACTCAAGTTGGAAATTCTATTCGCTCCTACGAATTTTCTCTTCAACTTCATGATCACAAGCCCAACAATTGACAACACTTGGACAGAAACAGAAGTCATCACCTTTGATGGCAAGTTGCAGACATTCTCAAGGTTGATTCCATTTTCCCATATTGTAAACTAACTCCAGAGCGTCACGCCTTTTTAGAGCACAAACCATGTCAGTTTTATTGTTAATAACAAAGCTTACCAGACCGTCAATGTATATTGACTATTGGGACACCAACTTTCCACATGGCAGTGTCAATGGAGCTTAGCAAAGCATAAGGACCTGGCTATGCTTATAAGCCCAAAAATGGTTAACAAAGAGAGAAAAAAAGAAACAGAGAAAGATGAAGCTATTCATGTGGGTGATGATAGTAGCCATAGCATTTCTCCTAGTTCATAGTTCTAGTCCCCCGAAGAGGCCACCTTCAATGCTTTTCTACTTCCACAGCACTGTCCTCAACGAAACCCATCCAGATGCCAACACCGCCCAGGTAGTCGCGGCCCCGCGTTCCAATCTCACTGTCCTGGGCTATGGAACCATGGTTGTTTTCGACGATCCGCTCACTATGGATTACTCCCCTGACTCCACACCTGTTGGAAGAGCACAAGGATTTTATGTCTACGACCAACTGACAAAAGAGTCGGTCAGTGCAATTTTTGTTTTCACGGCGCTCTTCAACCAGGAGGATGGCTTCAACGGGACTCTAAACTTCGTGGGCGCTGATCCTGTGTTGTCGCCGTACAGGGACATATCTGTTGTGGGTGGTACGGGTGACTTTGAGCTGGCAAGAGGAATCGCGAGGCTTTCGACTCAATCCATTTCTGGCGTTACCTTTGTTCTCAAAGTCGTGGTCACCTTGTTCTACTTTTGACATATAATAATATTATTGTCACTCGATCAGCCATCACTCACTACTAAAGTTGATATCATTATATTACCATTATTAAATAATTATTCTCAACGTTTACATATCTCAAATAATTTGTGAATTTGAAACTATCTTTTCCCAATGAAATAAAGCTTGATTATTCAAAGTAAAAGATTCGAGATTCTCTTTTTGACCGTTTGACCCGAATATCTTGGGTATCTGGAGTTAGGGTTTTTCTGTGTTTTGGATCCATGGCGGAGGAGCTGGTGCTCGACTCGGCGATCCGCGACTGGGTGCTGGTGCCGCTGTCGCTGGTGATGGTTCTCATCGGCGTGCTGCGCCACTTCGTCTCCAAGTGTATGTCCTCGCAGCCGGAGCCCGACGCCAAGGCTCTCAAAGAATCGTGAGTTTTTTTTTCTTTGTTTTGGCGAGCTTCTTCTTCTCATCTCGCTCTTGTAACTTTCTTCAAGGCAAATTGTTCTTCGCGCCAGGTACCTGAGAGCGGCTGCGAATTACATTCCTGCCAAGTCTTTCCGGATGAGAAAATCCTATTTCAACAACGAGGTAGGCGAGAAAAAGGAAAAATGCTACTTTTCTTTGCGGTCAAGAAGAAAGAACGCTGATGCTGTATTTTCTCTTGTGCCAGGAAAATGGGCTGTTACATGTTCCAAAGGGCCAGGGCCAGAACGTCCAGGCTCAAATGCTTTCGGACCCAAACATGGCAATGGACATGATGAAGAAGAACTTGTCCATGATCATTCCTCAGGTTTGGCGTTCCAAAATCTTGTCTCGGTCTCGACGTTTCTTTTCCAGACTTTAACCTTTGCGTGGGTGAACTTCTTCTTCTCCGGATTTGTCACCGGTAATACTTTATACCAGCCTTTCTTCTTTAAGTGCATCGTTTGCCTGCAGCCAAAATTCCTTTCCCGCTCACGCAAAGATTCCGAGGGATGTTGCAAAATGGAATCGACTTGAGCTCGGTGGATGTGAGCTATGTCAGCAGCCGTTCATGGTAAGCTGCTAGCAAGGTTAAGTTTCATGCTCGGTGTGTATCGACAGGTATTTCTTAAATCTTTTCGGGTTGAGAGGCCTCTTCAGCTTGATCCTCGGAGAAGACAATGGTGAGATTACGTCTTCCGTGCTCGCATTCTAAGTCTTTTGGTCGTTTGGCTCGACTTGCAGCCACCGATGATACCCAGAAGCTGATGCAAACGCAAATGGCGATGCAAATGGGCGGGTTTGGAGCCGATCCTGCAAAGGTGAGAAGCTTTCTAAGATTTCACAGGGAACGCTCAAACTTTTTCATGGAACAGGCCCTTGGAGCTGAGAAAGAAGGTCTCGACTTAGTCCAGCACGAGTGGCTTCTCCCCCAGATCGAGCAGCGAGCAGCAGCAGTGTTGAGCCAGATTCTCGCGTAGCTCGCTCGATCACAAAAAAAAAGAAAAAACAGAGAAGAGAAGAGACCATTTTCGAAGTAGGCTGCTCACGCAATACTTGCTCTCGACAACAACCAAAAACTTACAAGAAAAAAGAGAGAGAGAAACAAAGGATAAAAGGAATTTATTTTTAGCAAAGTTCTATCGCTCCATCTTCCAAGGTGTTATAAAAGGCGTGCCCAATGATTTGGAGCTGGAACCCAGATTTTTAGGGCAGAGGGGAGCGAGTGATGGGGATGCTCAAGCTCATCCTCGCGGATGCCGCCATCTCCTTCTTGTGGGTGTTTTGCACGTCGTGCATCGGCGCCGCGACCGAGATTATCGCGTCGTGCGCGGGCGTGGAGGGCGATCGCAAGTTTTACATCGTCTTTGGCCTCATCGCGCTGCTCATCGTCGTCTTCTCGGCTCTGGCCCAGGCGATTGGAGGCGCGAGCTGGAATCCAACCGCGGTGCTCGCCTTCTCGGGCGTGGGAGTGGGCGATTCAATCTTCAATCTGGCGCTCCGGATCCCCGCGCAGGTACTGAGACCAGTTTTTTCCCTCTTTTTTTTTTCTTAGCGTTTGATAAGTTAGTGTTCTTCCCAAAGTTTTCTTTTTTTTTTCTTCTGGATGTAATGGATCGATCTCCTTTGTTGTTTGCTTCTAGGCTGTGGGATCTGCCGCTGGAGCTCTGGCGATTTTCGAGCTGATGCCGTCGAGTTTCAAAAGAACTCTAGGGGGCCCAAGCCTCAAGGTGGATTTGCGAACGGGGGCGATCGCCGAGGGGCTGCTCTCGTTCATAATGTCGTTCGTGGTTTTGTGGGCGGTGTTGCGAGGCCCCAGGAACGCTGCTCTCAAGTCAGGGATCATCATCTCCACCACCATCGCGCTCATCGTGCTGGGCTCGGGATACACTGGCCCAGCCATGAATCCTGCCAATGTAAGTCGAGAAGAATCCTCCTTTTTCTCCTCCTCGGTTTGATTTCTTTGATTTCTTCCAGGCGTTTGCGTGGGCGTACGTGAACAAGAGCCACAACACCAACGAGCACTTGTATGTTTACTGGCTAACTCCATTGCTGGGCTCGCTGGCCGCGTCCATGGTTTTCAAGCGGATGTTCGCTCTCGGGCAAAACAAAGAGAAGACGGCCTAGATAAACAAACTGGCCATCTTTCTTTCTTTCTCACACATCCATTTATTATTATACTCTCTTTTTACTTCCTCACCAAATCACGATTCTTTATGTAAATTAAAAGCGCCTGAAAAAAAAACGAGAGAAGATTACAAAGAAGACCTACGCAATTTACATTGTACGCTTTGATCAGATGCCATGACAAGCGAAGAAGGAAACGATCTTATTTTCACCTTCGCTTATTGAGAAAGAGAGAGAGAGAGAGAGAGGAAAAAAAAAAACGAGACCCTGATCATCAAGCAAATCCAAAGCCTTCCGCAATGTGATCGGCCGTGATCGCGTAGAGGCTTCTGTGCATCACGTCAAAGCTCGAGTAAGGCGGCAGTATCAACTGGTAGAAGCAAGTGTGAGCCGTCGGCAACCAAGTCACGTTGGTGAGCGACTTGTGGATGTGGAACTTCGACGTCAAGCCTGCGAATCCCTCCGGCGGTAAATGCGTCACCGACGTTGCGAAGAACAGCAGCTTTCTCCGTCTCTCGGGGGACATCTCTTCTACCACCTGAGAGAAAGCGGTAAGAGTTTGCAAAGAACAAAGAAGACCAAAAGAAAGCATACCTCCCAAAACCATCGAGCTTGCTCGTCCGAGGCGGTGTAATCGTGGTACTCGGTGTGCTGCTTCCAGTCTTCCACAGAGATCTCGCGATCTTTGCCGTAGAGCATCAGGTCCAGATCCTCGAGATCCAGCGGGCGAAGAAACTGGTGGATGGAGGTGTTGGACAGCAAGTCGGAGAAGCCTTGAGAGAACCACTTGACTTGGTCTGCGACTGCGGCCACGAGACGCCTCTGGACCATGAGATCCACAAAGTGACGCCGGTTCGTGCTGGTGACTGCCATATCCTTCCCGCCGGGACAAAGCTCCAGCACCTTTCGTGATCCCAGGAGTTCCATCTCGGTTACGAACGTGAGGCCCAGCGTGTCCGAGTCGATGCTGTCCGGGTCCATTTCTAGGATGTTTTTGCAGCTCGCGTACAGTGCCGGGTCCGCGTCTCTCGAGTCTTCCCAGGTTATGGGAAGGCCAGCCAGCTGCTTGAAGAAGAAGAGAGCAAAGGTGACGTCTACCTGGACTCTGTGCATCATAGCCAGCGCTATAACTCGTCCACAGAATTTGAAGTACGTGAGATGTCCAGGATTGACTCCGGAAGCTGCAAGAGAAGAGAGGAGTTTAAAAGAGAGTTCACAAAAGCAAAGAAAAAACAAAGAAGAGTATACGTACCTGGATTTGGATAGAATCTTCTTCTGTCGTTGGGACACGGCAGAAACAACGCAAACTGAGGATTGAAGATCTCCTTGCAAACCATGAAGAACCACTCTCTCAAAACACCCGGCCCTGTCGCTTCCTCTGACGAAAACTCCACCGAAAGGCCACCCTGTATGTTCTCCGCTTCCACGTAAACCAGTTGCTCGAGTGACTCCGTCAGGAGCTGCGAACGCTGGATAACAATCTCCTGGCGTTCCTCGTGGTCGTCCTGCGGCTCCGGTAGCATAGCCATGACGAGCCGCTTCTTCGAGTCAAACTCTAAAAAGCGCTTGTACTCAAGCAGCCAAAAGTCGTGATCTTGCCAGCGTGACTGACTAACCAGCACATTCAAGGCCAAGCGTTGGCTTCGCAGCAGCGACAAGAGCTTCATCGACGAGATATCGGAGAGTTTCGCCACGGCATGGAGCCCCTTGAGCACGAACAAGAATGGAGCACGAGCAAACGGCCTCTCCTCAACCCCTTGTGTGCTTCTCGGCCCTCCCTCTTGAAACTTTTCGTGCTGCCAGAGTACCGTGACCAAGCACTTGTCCAGCTCCACCAGCAGCCTATGGAAAATACTATCCAGCCACCCCGCTGTTCCCACTTGCTGTGCCTGTGCCTGTGCCTGAGTTGTCTCATCACTGCATCCCAGTCTCAACTCCAAGTAATCCATGGAACTATTTCCCGGATCTTCCGAGTCGACCACCTTGCACACTGCCATCGACTTGCAGATGTGCGTGATGAAAGCGGTGAAGTCCTTGGCCTCTTTGATATACGACGAGAACTCTTGGCCTGGAAAGCTACGATAGTCCTGTAGACGAGTTAACAAGCTCTCGGCCAGTTCGTTAGCAAACGGGGAAAAGTCACTCACAATGGTCTCGGCCTTCACCTCATGGAAAAACGGATTGCCGTGACCGGCATCACTGCCATCCAGCAGCCGGGCCAGCGCACTCCGGCACGAGCGATACAGTGGGTGGCTTGGAGCACTCTTTGACAGGAGCTTGCAAAAGTCGAGAAGAACCGGCGCCGAGTGGCAATGCAAGTGAACCGGCAAGTAGTCATCGTTGCCAGTCAGGAAGAACTTGATAGACTCCTCGGCGCAGACCCTGTTGGACTCCACCGGCGAGAGGAGCAGCATGACGAGAGCGGACGTTGCTCCAGACAGCTGAAACACCTGCATGTGTTCTAGCACCGGTACTGACTTGGATGTCATCTTCAAAAACTCCTGGACCCCCGTTCTCACGCTATCCTGGCACTGCGTCAACTTTGATCCTAGCCTGCTAACTTCGTCCCCGGACAAGCCATACATCTTCCGGATCGTCGCCACCAAGTCGTTGATAAGCTGCCAAGAGTGAGGAAGCGCCGTGCTGCGCATCCGCGCCACGAGATGGAGCGTCGCATCGTTGGTGACATGACAAGTCTCCAGTGACTGATCGTGCTGGAGCTGGCGGCCACCAAAAATCAGCCTTTGCTCGAGAAGAGGCAGGCCTGTCCGGACAAGGATCTGCTGGTGGACCGACTCGATCGTGTCCGACGCTGTCGCGTGAAGAACAATCGTCTTGCCATCAATGTACGTCTTGACAAAGAACTGGAGATGTGACGAGGAACTCGAGCACGAAACGCCCCTGTCCACCTCCATAGCCACAGTCTCAGCTTTGTCTCCATCGGTGCTAGGACCTGGATCAATACCACCATCTCCTCCCTCTCCTTCCTTTCCAAATCCTTTGCTGCTACTACTACTGCTGCTAGACTCCTCTAAAAAGCCACCATCTTCTCTAGCACCACCCTCTTGATCGTCTGTTCTTCGCTGCCTCCCACTCGACTCGGCGTCCTGTGGCTCCTCCCTCCTGGGACGAGCAGAGAACTCGATGGAACTGATGTCCAACTCCTCCAGCTTCCTTTTGCTGGATGGATTCCTTGGCGGGGGAATCCGAGCTGCCGCCATGAAGCTCTCCTGTGCCCTATCGGCAGTGAGAATCGCCGCCGCGGCTGCCGCGGCCGCCGCTACCCTACTGGAAGATTCATCAGAGGAGCAACTCACCTCCATGCTCGTTGGCGCCGCCGCCATGGTTGGATCCCTGAAAGGCCCGCAAGAAACCATGGTCGCGTCGCGGATGTTCCTGAAGAGCCTCTGTAGCGACTGCACCAGGCCCGTCAGAACCATCTAATTTGACCTAGGCCATGATCTGGGACGATCGCGCACCCCCCGCGATCGCGCGATCGCAAGAACCCTAACAGCGATCGCTACGCGCAGATCCAGCGCCACTCACGGCGATGCCGCCCTCGCCATGGCGCGGATTATCGGCAGTAGCGATCGCCGCTCCACCGCCGAGGGCTAGATCGAGACCTCGCGCACAAAAACCAACACACAAGAAAAACAAAAAAAGAAAAAGAGAGAAAGAACAAAGCTCGACCGTACAGGGAATCCCCAAGAAGCCGCCGTACGAATATCCGGCCCTTTTGTAACGTTTTCTATACAGCGCGCTCCTGCCCGTTGGATGCCCGGCGCCATCCAACGGCGAAGAAATGTTAGTCCGAAATGGCATCTTCCCGCGAATATGCCCGTGGCATAAGTTACGTGGGCGAGCAAGAAAAGAGGCGAGGCGAGAAAAGAGAGGCCATTCTTCTCGCATTTTCCAGTTGGAGGCCCAAGACGAAGATTGTCACCAATCCACCTAACAAAATGCCCAGAAAAAACCAAAGAATTTCGCCGAGTCAAAGCTCATGACACCACCAAACCAATTCTCTCTTGTTATAAGCCACCACCATCTTGTTCCTCGATCCAAATCTCTTGATCCATCCGCTGCTTCCCTCGAATACGATCGTCTTCCTTGATCCAAACTTTTAGAGGGAATCCTTCCTGTTTGAAGCCAGTCGACGCAAAGTGTCCAGTAAGCCAGAACCATCGTTTTCCTTTGATCGATCACCACCATCGTCTTCCTTGATCGACCACCACCATCGTCTTTTCCTTTGATCGATCACCAGCATCGTCTTTTCCTTTGATCGACCACCATCTTCCTTGATCTAGTCGCCAGCTCTCCTTGATGCAACAAGCCGGAGTCACCGTCTTTCTTTGATCGACCACGCCCCTATAGTTGCTCGGTCTAATCTTTCCGGATCGTCTGCTCGAACTCATGGGAGACTACGCACCACCCGACTTCACCCCTGCTACCGGCGAGGATCACACCTTTACCAGCAAGCTTCCTCCTGCAACAGTCCCGGAGCTTACAATCCCTCAGTACGTTTTCCAAGGAGTAGAGAGTTACCTGGAGAGAGTAGCGATCGTGGACACCTCCGATGGCCGAGAGTACACGTACAGGCAGCTCAAGCGGCTGGTGGAGAACTCGGCCGCAGGAATGGTCCAGCACGGGCTCAAGAAAGGCGACGTTGTGCTTGTCATTCTTCCCAACATGGCCGAATACTTCATCGTGGTGCTCGGAGCCATGGCCGCCGGTGGAGTCTTCTCGGGTGTGAATCCAGCGTCTCCCTCGGTTGAGATCGAGAAGCAGGTCAGGGACTCCGAGGCCAAGATGGTGATCACGAACTTGGCCGGTTACGAAAAAGTCTGCCATCTTAAGTTGCCGATCGTCGTCATTGGAGAGAATCCACCCCCGGAAGCGATTCCTCTTAGCTCCCTGTTCGAAGCTGACGGTCAGGCTGCTCTTCCATTTTCCACCAGTCCAGATGATCTCTGTGCTCTTCCTTACTCCTCTGGAACAACCGGCGTATCCAAGGGAGTGATGCTGACACACAGGAACATCCTATCAATCCTCAGCCAAACTCTCGCCGACTACGAGAGAATTCCACCCGAGATCCGTGAGACCCTTCCACAGTACTGCGCTCTGGGACTGATGCCGTTCTTCCACATCTACGGTATCACTGGCATTGGCTGCTCTACCATGAGGCTCAAAGGGAAAGTTGTCGTCATGGAGCGGTACGAGCTGAGAAAGATGCTGGAGGCTCTCATCAAGTACGAAGTCCAGTTTGCTCCCTTGGTGCCACCGATTATCCTGTCCCTCGTGAAAAATCCCCTGGTCGACGAGTATGATCTCAGCAAGCTGAAGCTCAATGCCGTCATGACCGCAGCCGCACCGCTCGCACCAGAGCTCCAGCGAGCATTCGAAGCAAAATTCCCAGGCGTCGAAATGAGACAGGTAATAATTCTGGTTCTCAAGATTCGTCTGAGCTTAGAACTCTGCAGGCGTATGGGTTGACGGAATATAGCTGTGTTACGCTCTCCCACTGCGCACCTGGACATGCGAGAGGCAACGCAAAAAAGGGATCAGTCGGATTTATCATACCAAACACGGAAATGAAGTTCATAGACCCGGACACGGGTAAATCCTTACCAGCGAACACTCCTGGAGAGATTTGCGTCCGCGGAGGAGCTGTAATGAAAGGTAAAGAAAACTGAGTTGTGTGCGTCGTCTCTAACTCATTATAGGAGGAAAACAGGCTATTATAAAAATCCAGATGCAACAAAAAGCACAGTCGATGACGAGGGCTGGCTACATACCGGAGACGTAGGATACATTGATGACGACGGTGACATTTTCATCGTTGACAGAGTAAAAGAGCTGATCAAATATAAAGGCTTTCAGGTGAGAGCGGGTTTTCAGAAAGAGAGGAACTTATGCTGTCTTGTTCTCGTAGGTTCCACCAGCGGAGCTGGAAGCAATTCTAATATCTCATCCTCTCATTGAAGACGTGGCTGTCATACCGTAAGTTAAACACACTGTGATAATGTGAAAACCAGATGCACTCACTGTGAATTACAGATTCCCGGATGAAGCTGCTGGAGAGATTCCTGTGGCATGCATCGTGAGGAAGCAAGGAAGCGATCTCTCGCAGGAAGAAATCTTTGATTTTGTCTCGTCCAAGGTAACTCTCTCTGCAGCAGCAAGAAAGATTTGTCACTCAATCCAAATAAACGTTTAACACCACACTACCTTTTTGCTCGTACAGGTTGCAGCTTACAAAAAGATACGAAGGATTGAATTCGTGTCAGAAATTCCCAAGTCACCAGCCGGGAAGACCATGCGCCGGCTGCTTCGCGACAGTCTCTTGAAACACAAAACCTTGAGTAAATCAAGCTAGCTTCCTCCGGTAGTCCTGTAAAGAATGCAAAATAACGTGAGCTCACAGATGTCAAGCCAAACGTCTTGTTTCATCAAACAAAGAACCTGGCTTTCAATTTTCTACGGCGTCGGCATCTCTGTCCTCGCCTTCCGCTGAAAGGCTTTGGAACGCGCTTTGAAACTGATGTATTCGCTGGAGCTCGTCTGCCTCTGCGTCTGCCGCAACTGCTTCGGCTTGTAGACTCTCCGCCTCCTCCATGTCATCGAGCTCGATCGCCACGTTTCTTTCGTTTCTGGCAGCCACAGCAACCAGCCTCAGCCTTTCACAACACGCCTGCGCTGCCTCCCTTTCCTTGACGGCTATCAAGCCTTCGATGTTTGAGAGAGAAACAATCTTGGTCTCTATACGCTCCTCGACCTGCTGCAGCTCCGAGCTGCATTTTTGTAGTTCCTCTGTGACAGCTTCCTGCTCTGCCCGGAATGCTTTGGCCTCAGCTGAAAGTCTAGCTGCCTCTTTAAATTTGCGTGTAGCTGCCGCAAGCCTTTTCTCAGCTTCCAGCGCGGGGCCACGTTTCTCGTGATGTGCCAGCTTTTGCTTTGCGGCGCGGATGTCTTCTTGTAATTTCATTTTCGTTGCTGACAACTCCTGCATAATGCAAGCGTCAAGGTGATTGGCGAAAGAGGAAAAAATATATATATATCGTTACAAACCTGTAGCGACGCTCGCGCCTCTGATGCTTGTTGCCTTAGTGCCTGAGAATCCGCTAGAAGTTCTTCTTCTTTCCTAACAAGATCCCCCTTTTTCTCCTTAATTTCCCTGGACAGCTTAGCTGCTTTCCGCCACCTTCCAAGTTCTTCTTGCAAAAGTATAGCCCGCTCTTGCGCAGCTTCTGCCGTGGTCTTTAGACATTCTCCCTCTGCCTTGGCCAGAGTCAAGCTTTCCTCCACATCCTTCCGTGCAGATTGTATACCAGCTGAAACCGTGTCAAGCGCCTCCAAAGAGCTCGTGACTCTCGACAAATCCGTCTCTATACTGAGTTGCTTCTCTTCGAAAGTCGCAGCCACAGCAGCAATTTTCAGACCGATTTCTTTGATGAGATTGTCGCACCTGGCAATTTCGGACTCTTTGTCTTTCACCTTTCTGAGTAGATCTTCGAGCTCTTCAACAAGCACTTGACGCTCTGCTAAATGGCCAGTTTTGTCACGGACATCTGGTTCAACGGCTTCGTCAATCGTCCTGTTGAGGTCGACCTTGGCTTCTTCCAATGCTCGCAGTTCGAGCAAATATTGAGTACTTTTCATGTCCAGCTCCTCTTCTTTGGAGGTCAGACTTTCCATTTCCAACCTAGCAGTTTCTGATGCTTCCATTTCCACCTTTTCTGCTGCGGCTTGTGCCTCCTGAAAAACAAAACCAAGAAAACATGTCAGAAAAGAAGGCTAGGATGAAAAACGACATTATCTGCAAACCTTTTGGAATTCTGCAAGTGCTGCGGCTCCTTCTTCTTCTATACTGATTTTCAGTGATACTATCGTCTCCATTTCCACTGCAGCCAGATCATATTTTGAATCAGCCTCTTTGAAAGCCACGTCTGCCAACTCTAGCGACTTCTCAGCATCTGCAACCTCCTGGCTCAATCTATCAGCCAGATCAAAGTCTTCTCTCTCGCACGCACATTCAAGCTCAACTTCCAACGCCTTCCGCTTTGCTGTGGTCGAAGACAGCTCCTCCGCAGCTCTTCTCCGTACCTGTGCCGCCATTTTTCTTGAAGACGACGCTTCAGCAGCTTTGGCTTCAAGGTCTCGTAATTTTCTCGCAATGTCCTCCTGAATTGCCTCAAGCCTCCTTCGCATAGCCAAAGTACTTTTCGGATCGTTTGTATCAACGTTGTCTTCCACTTCTGGTGCTGTTTCCACCACGAGAACAACAGTCTTAGACTCTTCAACCGAGGCATGCAAAGTTTTCTCCTCTTTCTCATCGCCAGCTTTCGTGATTTCCTTCGCAATTTCACTGTCCTCCTTGGTAAAAACTTGTGTATCCTCCTTGAAAACTTTCGTGTCGTCGGCCAGTTCATCTTCGATCTCCAACTCCATTTCCTGCTGCGAGAACTCTGAGGCGCTCACCGAGACTCCATCGCTCTCTGGAAAGCTCGTCCCAAGCTCTACAACCTCGGAAGCGTGCACGAGCTTCTTAATCTCTGCCTGGTCACTGAAAACCATTTCTCTATCTTCTCCATCTTCGTTGTCTCTACCATACCCGATCCTAAGACTCTTCTTTTTCTTCCTTCCAGCACCACCTCTTGAAGAGATCGAGATCGTACTCGTACTAGTAGCTTTGGTTCCTGCGCTTGGAGCACTGTCATAGGCAGCCAGGATAGTGTCGAAGCTCTTCCTTCCCATGCATGAAGTATCCGAGAGAGAAATCCTTGCCTCGCCATTCCCCGAAGAATCCGCAGCCTCTTGACTCGATGAGATCGATAGCATGCTCATTCCAGTAAATAGATCCTCGTCCAAAGCCCCTCTAGAACTGCTCTCCACAGGCGGAGGAGGAGCCTCCGCCACAGCACTGACTGGCGGCGATGGCTCCCTTTCTCCGTCTAGATCTTGCTCCGGAGCTACAGACAGCACGAAATCCATGCCTTCGAACAGCGATTCTTCCATATTTCTCGGAATGCCGATGCCGCTGCCACAATCCCTCAAAAGAAGCCCCCGATCTGATCTAAAACCTAGCCCATCGCTGCCGCAGCAAGAAATCTACCTGTAGCGTCCGCTTCTATCGCGATTTCGATCGATCGATTCGGTCGATCCTTCGCCGGCGCCACGCGCCAGGGCAGCTCCGGAATGAAACAAATGAAAGAAAAATATTCCATTGGCACCTAGAGCATATTCATATAAAGATGATGTTACTATGTACATACTTGAAAGCGTTCTTTTCTTTTTATTCCTTCATCTAATCATGCCACTGGTGTTTGCTCCTCCTAAATTCGCGCCATCCAAATTCTACACACACAAGGAAGAGCGCGATTAAACTTTTTTCGATCGCAAAGATCGTCACATCGTCTTACAGTTCCTCGAAGATCAGCATGAGCCAAGTACGCTCGCTGGAGATTTGCTGAGCGAAGATCGGCTCCATTCAATCTTGCTCCCTGGAAACAAAAGTTCTGGCTCGCATGGAGACGAAGCCAAGGAAAATACCTTAAGATTTGCTCCTTCCAAGTTCGCCTTGGCGAAATTGGCATTTGAGAGGTCAGCATTCTGGAATCAACAAAAGTTTTGGCTTAGTACCGCAAGAACAATTAACGAGAGGCTACCTGTAAGTGTGCAGTGCGAAGATCAGCACCAAGAAGACTGCAGTCCGCCAAGCAAGCATCTGGCAATCCAACCACGTAGAAACCAGTCAGAAAACTTTCCTTTTGCTTGAAAAACCTAGAACTTAAGACCTTGCATGTTGGCACTTTGAAGATTAGCACCAGAGAGAACTGAACCACGGAGGCACGCTCCAACAAATACAGACCTGTCATCGCCAAAAGCCAGCTTAAAGCAAAAAGAAAAAAAAAAAAAAAATCGAAACATACTCTCGAAGTATGGCGTTATGGAAGTTGGCGTAATCGGCTGCCGAATCCTGCAATCTGGCCTCGTCAAGTAAGATGGACTTACAAAGACTGATGAACAAACCCGAAAATTCGCCGAGTGTAAGTTGGCTCGACTAAAAAATGTGCTTATGAGCCGTCCATTGCTAAAATCCACTCCTGACAGATCCTGAAACAGCGATCTTAAGCCTGCTTAAGCGTCTGAGGAAAAAACACCGTACCAGTTTCGAGAGATTTTGGCCGGAAAGATTCACACCACGTAGTCGAACTCGTTTGGTTTGCAAGCATTTAATCACTTCCTTTCTCGTCAATTCGGCAGTGTCTTCGTCGTCTTCATCCTTTTTATTTGACACTGCGGTTAGAGCTTCAATCAAACCCTGCCAAGAGAAAAGAAAAGCCGTTATTTCTGAAAAGCAAAAGCAAAGCTTACAAAGCTTACACTCAGTTGATAGTACTCGGCCTCGCGTAGAAGCTCCTGGACGGAGGAAGTGTCCAAGGCTGGAGTTACACCATCACGAAGGTAATTCAATATGTGTCGAAAATGAGTTCCATCTCTGTCAATAAACACTGATCCCTGCTAACATCCATTTTGACATGCAACAAACAAACAACAAAGATCATGAAACTCCTACTCTGGCACGCATCAAAAGCTATTTAATCCCTTTCTCTTTTCCTCACTCTTGAGCAAACAAAGCGAAACAAAGGAAAAAGAAGAAAAACCAAGCGCGCTTGCCTTGTTTGCATCAATGTGGAGCCGGTGCCGCCCGCTAAACATAATCGCAAGCATAGATCCAGTGTCCCGATGCGTTAGCGTGTCCACTGTGGTAGTAAACTGCATCCCTCCTGGCATCCCATCGCCCGAAATATCAGCAACCAGCGGCGATCTCTCCAAAATCTAGCGTCCTAGAGCCGAAACATACCGACATTGAGATGAACGATCGATGGAACACCCGGTGCCGGCTCCTGGAGATCCCGCATTTGCGAATCGAGATCTTGCGGCGGCGGCGACGGCTTGCCCTCTCCGATCGCCAGCCTCCACGCGGCCTCCTCGTCCCGGGCCACACAGGAATCGTCCACAGACACATCCCCATCGCTCTGGGAGGCCCCATCCTCTATCGCCATCCCTCCCTCCTCTAGGGATGAAAATGAGAATGCCCTTCTCCTAGTTTCTATTTAACTTTAAACCTAGCCCTAAATCCATTAACTTTTAAAAGGGTGTTCTTTTTTTATTACCTTTAATAAGATAGAGCTTTACAGCTAAACCCGATTACTTTACAAAATTAGCTTAGTTCCTTCTTGGCACCACTCTATAATGTATGTCTACGTAGCTCTCTACGTCCCACAAGTAGCTCCCAAACGCCGCCGCCTCCATCACCAGCGCTCTCAAGCTCGCGAATTTGATCTGGATTGCATCGTCTCGCGCAAGACCCACGCTGCCATCCGCCGCCACTCGCAAATCGGGCCTCCCAAACAGCGCCTCGGCGTGCCTCTCGATCAAATCCACCGTCTCGTGCGTCCTCATCGTCGCGTATCTCGACAGCGTCTCGTGATCAAACTTGGCAACATACGCTCGCAGATCGTTGTTCTTGAGCGCCACCTGCGATGGCGATCGCGAGGAGGAGCTCACCAGATCGAGCTCGCTCGCTGCTCCTGCTGCCTGGATCATCTCGGAGCTCTCCCGCTTCTCGATGCTCAAGAACTGGGTGGTGAATCCCCGCCCCGACTCCGCCACCCTCGTCAGGATCTTCATCTTCTTCTCCAGCTGGTAGCGCTCGTCGACGCGTTTGAGGAAGTAGCCATACATGACCGACGTCGCGTAGATCTGCCCGACTCGGAGCTTGCTGATCTGCGCCACCGTGTGTGGCTCCACTCGGCTCAGCGTCGCGTGTCCGCCGAGAACCATCTCCATGTGTTCCTTGATCATCTCGAACGCCTCCGGCGAGTGGACGCTCTCGAGATCCTTCTCTTGGATCGGCCAGGAGCAAGCGCTCCCTCCTTCTCGGTTGACGAGCGCCGAGATCTTTGGAACCATCTTGATCCCGGCCTTGAGGAACTTCTCCACGACGAGAACGTAGATCACTTCCTGGACTGCTCGTCGCCGCTCCTCGGACTTGAGCTGCGCGATCCTCCTGTTCCAATGCAAAGCTCGTCAACTCCAAGGATGGTCATCGCGGAAGAACAAGAAAAGCTCTTACTTGTAGAGGATGTGATCGTTGCCGGCTGGATTTGGCTGCTCCAGCGCGCTCCTCCTCTCCAAATCGAGTAGCTCAAGCTGCTGCTCGGCCGCGGCGTGGAAGAGGTGTGGATTTCCCTTGAGCGTTTGCATCAAGAACTGGCCGGCGGGAGAGCCTGGCTCCAGCGGCGCGATTGGCCTGTCCGCGACAAGAGCTTCCGCGATCTCGATGGCCCTCTGATGCGAATCCTCGTCGGAGGAGCTCGCCGTGGCGCCGCCTTCCTCTCCACACGATCGAGCCGCCCACACCGATTTCTTGGATGAGAAAAGCATCGTTGGCGGCGAGGAGGAATCTGGCAGCCAGGTCGCCTTTGGGATGGAATTCCCACTCCCCACTGGGAAATCTCGTCCCTGAGCTCCATTCTTGCAAGAACGAGCAAAACTTGGTACCTTTCTTCCTGTCATGAAGCAGCTCGAGGGGGATGCCAGCGACCAGAGGGCAATCGATCCTCCCTCCAGCGAGAGCGAGGAAGAAATCTTTCCAGTGGCAGCGTGGCGAGGCCGGCAGATTGACGCCGCAGCTTCCAGATGCATCGCTTCCCTACAGTGATCTCGCGAGCGGAATTCCTGGAGAACTCAACCTCTCAAGATCGATGCATTGCGAATCCACTGAAAGCCTGCGCTAGCCGATTATCGGCGGCTCATCGCGGCGCCGCTCATCCTCGTCCTCGCGCTCACACGCCGCCACCGCCATCTTCTTAGCCCACACACCCAAAACGGACGGCTGGGACACCCTCGTGCCAGGACGAGATCGTGGCCGTCGAGTACACATAGATAAGCCGACCACGCGTCCCAGAGCATATTCCCCGGACAAAAGATAAGCTTCTGGAAAAAAGAAAAATCTCCTCTACTACACAACACTATCCCCCCAGACTTCTTCGTCGCTGATAACGTTCACTTCTACAGTCGATCGTCCGGATGGAACCTGGAAGAATTAAAAAAGGGTATGGTTTTTGATCGCAACAAGAGCTTAGCTTTTGATCGATTAAAAGCTTACCGGACAAATGCAGCTTCTTACAAGGTTTCCTCGATTTGCCTCGGCTCGGTATCCAGCCTGAAAAGAGCGAGAGAATTTAAAAAACGAAGTTTTTACTTCAGTCGAGAACTCGAAAAGATCAAACTTGCCTCTTGTGCGCCTCCGACCACGTCCAGCTCGCAGTGGCAGCAAGTTCCTTCGAAGCAAAAGTCCTGGAGGCCGAGAAATGAGACTCGATTAGCAAAACGTTTTGAGTGGAGAGCTTACATCATTTGGAACAAGAACACCACAACGCTCGGCCACTTTCAGCAGGTTCTCGCCAGAGTTCGCAGTCACAGTCACCTGAGCAAAGAAAGAAAAAATGAAAACCATTTCGTCGATTGAAGAGCAGATCACTCACATTGTCTCCACTGCCAGTGTTGAATCTCACCTCCACTTTCTCGGCCGACTTGTCGCTGTGCAAAAATGTTAGTTTTCTTAAGTGATGCTAAAACTTTAGAACTTTACCTCGCACCACTCCAATAATATGTTCCTGGAACAGCACTCTCTTTAAATCGTTCTTCCCCAACAGTTCCTCTTTTGAGATTGGCATCCCTGTCTAGAGCACCGATTGAGACAACCCTGGAGGAAAAATGGAAAGCGAAGAACTTACCAGAGATCAGTGAGGAAGAGGACGCTAGTGCACAAGGAACTCGAGGAGCTCTGATGGGCAAATGGGAAATGGAATTCCAGCGTAGAGTTCCAGGAAGTGCCACCACTCCAAGGCAGGAGCAGGCCATTCTTCTACCACTGCTGCTCTTATTTCTTAGGTAATTACGCTCCGTTCCAGTAAAAGATCTCCATTTTTGTTGCGGGCCTGTCGGATGAGATGACTCATTCTATCGAATTTGCAGCTCCGTTGCTCTGCTCTTCCGGGGTGGCGCGATTGAACTGCTGCTGCTCCTCGCAATTCTCACCAGTTCCAGCAGCACAAAATGGTAGGAGGGCTTTCGTTTTGAGCTCTGGATTGGTAGCTGGACTCTTCACTTCCGTCACAGAAGGTAGAGAAAACCTCGTCTCGGTCTGGATTGGGCTGACAAGTGAATGGCTGCTTCTCGTCCATCCAGATGCTCGAGCGGGCCTGGAGAAATACATGAAAAAGTAAGTTTTTCTTGGAGCTTACATAAAACTGTGAAGGAATTTCAGTACAAACCATTCCACAGAAAGAAGCTGGATCCACTAGAGACTTATATCCCAGGTATCATCCTGTGCCAATCGCAGTTTCAGGAGCTCGGTAAGCCTGTCAAGAGAAAATACTTTCTTTGAAAGAAGCAAACGAACCTTACGTTGACGACGCTGGAAGTAGAAGCCAAACTTGGCGGCGAGAAGGTCGAGTATCAAGACGCACGGGCCCTTCTTCGTTCCGGACCAGCAGGATCCCTCAGGAGCAACATTCGTGCTGTAAAAAGCGATCCTTTTTTTCATCTGTTCTTAAGTTTATCTGAGTCTCAGGTCGCGGAGTACGCATCGGAGTCGGGAGATGGAGCAGCTGCCGCAGACGCTGTAAAGCTGTGCTTGAGGTAAGTACAAGCGAAGAGAAAAGCTTAAGACAGAAAATTACCTCGCTCGCTCCCAGATCTTTGGAGGACTTGGACTCACTGCTCTTGAGAAGATCTCGAGATGACACCTCCATCACTGTCGATTCCATGAAAGCCAAGCTTGGAACTTCCATGCAAGCCTTGGACAGGTACCCTGTAGCGTAGTGAAAAAACAAACAAGACCAAACAATATCCTGTGTTCCTCTCAGGCTTCTCCAAACAGTTCCACAGCCCATTCTCGAGCAAGGCAAAGCGGCTGCCATGGCCTTCTTGGACGACACCCCGGAAGTTGTGACCGACGACGTCGACATAAAAAGCTTGGAAGATCTCATAACCACAACAAAATAGCTCTGATCAATCAAAGTTTCTATCCAAAGTCCATAAAACCAAACGAAAGACCAAGAACAAACTCTCCATCATCTCCTGGGAACAAGCTTTTTCAGAAGCTCGGGACTGGGGAAACGATCCTCTTCAATGTAGTAGTGATTCCCCCTGGCGAAGAACGTAACAAGAGGCTTGTTCGTGTCGGGAGGATGGACATCGCTAAGCTGGATCTTCCGCTCGACGCGTCGAGCCAAGACGTCGAGCGTCTCAATGGCGACCTCTTTGGAACCGGGCTTCCATGAAAGCTTGCGAACATAAGGACCAGCGTACCAATGCAAGCCAGCAGTAGTGAGAGCGCTAAGCATCATCATCATGGAAGCTATGGAGGACTTTGCAACGACGGAGACCTCGGGATATGTGTGGAACGCTAGCACGGGAGCGCCGAGAGAGGAGAAGACGAAGGAGGTGAAAGAGAGGATTTTCACTCGCCTCAGTGTGCCGGCCATGGCGCCCTCGTACACAACCTCCGGCTTGGAAGCCGGCGCCGGCGCCGCTACCTTCCCCTGCTTGAGATCTTCCCGAAGAGCTGGCTGAGAAGCCCATCGCTGGTGCTCCAGCCGCGCTAGCCGGAGCGCAAAACCTAGAAATCGATCCAAATCAGTCGATCACATGGACAATGTGGACGATCTCACCTTGGCGCCGGAGAGCCGCGGCAGCCATAGCCCGTAAAAACCCTAAACCCTAGTTCTTGAGCAAATGTATGTTCTTATAATGCTTCTTCCATGGCCCTTCGTCTCCACCTCCTGGCCAAGCTTGTGCGTCACTGTGGAAGCGAGCGAGATCTTTGCAGTGGGCGGCGCATCCATCTCCAAATCCTCGCAAGCCAGTACCGCGATAGCATCTATCTCTCCAATCTCCTCATTGACATGTACTCCAAGTGCCTCAGCCTTGACGAAGCCGAGCGTGTCTTCCAATCCATCAAAACCCCAAACGTTTTCTCCTGGAACATCCTCATGGCCGCCTACTCGCAGCACGGCCTCCTCCAAGACGCCATCGCCGTGTTCCTGGACATGACCCAGCGGGACGTGGTGTCCTGGAACCAGATCCTCGCAGCGCATACCCAAACAGGAGATCTCGATCGAGCCCAATCCATCTTCCAGAGAATGCCCCATCGCGATTTGGTATCTTGGAACACCCTGATCGCGGGACTGGCGGAGTCTGGACTTGCGGCCACGGCGAAAGAGCTGCTGGATTCATCCCCGGAGCACGACTGCCTCACGCACAACCCCATGATCCAGGCATTTGCCCTCTCTGGGCAAATCCAAGAGGCCCGTGAGCTCTTCGAGGGATTGCTGGAGCGCAATGACGTCTCCTGGAACTCCATGATCGCGGCCTACACCGCGAATGGTCTTGCCGATGAAGCGAGGATGATCTTCGAGAGAATGCCGCTGTGGGACATCGTTTCTTGGACCGCCATGGTCACCGCCGCTGCTCAAGCCGGGGAGATCGACGAAGCCAGGAAGATCTTCGACGCTATGCCGCAGAGAAATATCATCTCCTGGAACGCGATGATCCAAGCCTATGCTCAAGGCGGCCGGGCAAAGGAAGCGCGATCGATATTCACTGCCATGGAGGAGGAGCAACCGCGATCGCGGTCCATCCTGGCCTGGAATTCGCTGCTTCTGGCCTACTCCCTCGGTAATCTGGATCAAGCCTCCTCGATCTTCCACCGGATGAGCGCCTGGAACATGACATCGCTCAACACGATGCTGGCAATCTTCGCTCAAAACGGACACATCCAAGAAGCGCGAGAGATGTTCTTGGATCTGCCAGAGAAGGACGTAATATCCGGCAACACGATGATCAACGCGTGCCTGGAGCAGCGAAATCCCCAAGAAGCGAGAGAGATCTTCGAAAGAATGGAGCGGCGCGACGTGATCACCTGGACCGCAGTGATCGCGAGCTACGCCTCCGGCGGCAGCGTCGGCCAAGCCAAGGCCCTGTTCGATTCAATCCCTGGCCGCAACGCCGTGACCTGCAGCGTGATGATCCAGGCGCACGCCGAGCAAGGACAGCTAGATCGAGCAGCGCAAATCTTCTCCACAGTCCCGGATCCGACCACTCTCTCCTGGAACGCGATCATCCACGCCTACGCGCGCAATGCCCACAGCGAAAGAGCCCTAGAGCTCTTGGCGGGAATGGTCCTGTACGGAATGCGCCCAAGCTGGGTCACATTCGTGGGCCTCTTGTACGGCTGTAGCCACGCCGGGAAGGTGCCCGAGGGGGTGTCGTGCTTTCGATTGATCGAGGAGCTCACAGCGGCGCCGCCAACGCTGGATCACTTCGTGTGCGCGATCGATCTGTTTGGGCGATCCAAGCGCCTGGACGAGGCGGAGGATTTGCTTGACAATATGCCCTTCAAGGAGGACGTGGTAGCTTGCACGACGCTGCTGGGCGCATGCCAAATCCATGGCGATGCGGAGAGGGGGACTCGCATCGCGCGGCGTGTGGTGGAGTTCCAGCAGGACGAGGCCTGCCCGTACGTGCTTCTCTCTAGCGCCTACATTGCTAACAGAGGAAGATTATAAACATGGTCGGCAAAGATCATTTGCTACTTGCAGTAGAGATTGACTATATATCTTCTCACAACCAGTTTTGGAGAAGTGTGGATACCAGAATACACCACAATCAGCTAGACATTTCTCACTTCAATTTCGAATTTGCTATAGGACAACATCTCTTGTGAGGTGTTTTCTGTGCCGTATTTTGCAATATGATCAAGAGGATAAACGCTTGGAGGGAGATTGTCATTTCCGAAAAACTAGTTTCTCAAATTCAACCTTGTAGGAGGAGCACATCACAAATGTCTAGACAAAATAAAACTGAGCCAACAAGAACAAGAATAACAGATCTGTTAAAAGTAGTCTCACATGGTTTTAAGCTCTGAAAAGAATTGGAGGAAAAAATTAATTCAACAAATCACTACAATGGCACAAGATTGCAATGCTGAAAGACTAAGAGCTTTAGCCAACAGTCAGCCCCTCTACTTAGTGTAGGAGGTTGCTTGGTGTGCTAGAGGGGCTAACTGTTGTTTGATGTGCTAAGTAGAGACTTCCTGTAAAACAACATGTTGTTTCACTCCCTCTCCGCTTATGTGGAGGTGCACCTCCTTTTTGTATTTTCCGCCCCTCTCCCTCCCGCCCACAGCTATCACCTGACATCAGCTGCTGGAGACGATGAATTGTCTCTATGGACATATCAGTTTGACAAGGTTTGTATTACATCATACTAATTGACCTAAGAAATTTCATATGATCTGATCAACTTATTCCAACAAACACTCCCTTCATTGTTCATTTCCAAAACATTCCTAACATTCCTTTTCCAAAGGTTTAATATAATATCACTCCAACAGACCAGTTTTGTAACTATAAAACTTGATATTTAGTGATAACTTAGTTATTATTTATTTATTTATTTTGCACTAAGTCAATATATTTTACTAATCATGAGCTCTTTATGCAAAGCCCAATTTTGTTTATATGAATCATTATAAACTTGAAAAATTGCATAACTAAATATATAACATTCAATAATAGTTTCATATGGATAAGTTATATTATCTTGATTATAGTAAAAGTATTAATTTTTTTAAAAAATAATTTTAATGTCATACCAGGAAAGTGTTTTTTGTATCCATCACTCTTTAAAATTAAATAAAAGTTTTCTTCATCATTTAGAATTTGAATACCAAGATTACCATTTACAGATTCGCAATGGATTTCTAAATTTGGACCTACTATATTGTATATTTTGACATATTTTCTATTACATAGTATGATGGGTATAAAAGGCAATGAAATATATATAAAGTAATGAAAACGAGATAAAAAAATTTTATCTATAAGAGAATTTATAAATCATTTAAAAATAGCCACTATTTATATAATGATAATATTTTTCATTTAAAAATTTCTAAAAATTATATTTATTTTGAAAATATAGGTTCTTTTATTGATTTTGACTCTTTTATAAAAGAAAATATAAGCTTTAGCTAGCAAATAGATACCAAAAATAATTTTTTGTTTGATTTGATTAAGAATAAATTAAATACTATTATAATTAATGTAATTTTAAAGAGTAAATGATATTCTATTATTATTATTATTATTATGACATTAGTTGGTTTCCTATGTATAAGTATTTATATATATTATAAAGATAAAAACTAAATAATCTTCACAGCATGCAAGTAATTTGAACTATTTAATTTATGATAAACTTTCACGAATCCTATATCATTTATAACTTAGAACAAAAGACATAAAAAATTTATAGATAAAATTAGATAAAAGAAGTGCATTGTAGATGAAAAAATATGTCTGCTATAAACATATGATTTTGTGACAACATTTATATTGTGTTAATTTTTTAATTTTTTTCTTTTGATTGTTAGTAAGTTTGTTAGAGTTAGATGGTTGGTGTCATAGTTTGAAATACAGAAACTTCATGCTACCACATTGTTTAAATTCAATGTTATTTAAGATTCTTGTGTATTCACAAGATTGAAGTGTATATCATGAACATTTGCTTAGCATTTGGATGGGCTTATATAATGAACAACTTATAAACACTTCAAACAAAAATGTAATAAAAAACATTTTTACAATCAAAATCCACTTTCCTATTTACTCTAAGAGTTTATAGTACAAAGCCAACCAGTCTCAAGATGCCATATAAATAATAAAATTTAGATCAAAGATACAAGTTTAAGGATAATATTTAACTTTTTAACTATTATTTAACTTATTAAATTGTATGGTGCGCATGGAAAATTGTATTCATGGATTTTATTTTGTCATTTTAAAGTTTACAGCAGTTTTTTCCTCTCGAAAAACACTTTCATGTGGAACGATTGGAAGACCGCTACCAGCAAGCAAAAAAGCAAGGACAGTGCACCGAGCACGACTATCCTTGTGTTCGTGGACTCGTTAAAAGCGCGCATCTCTTGTTCCCTGCCATGACAATTTCTCACAATCGATTAAACGAAGCTGCGAAACAAACGTTATCACTTACTTCTCTCGCAAGAAGAGCATCTCTTCGTGAATGGAATCCACTAGCTCTTCTATCTTTCGAAGCTCCAGCTCCACTCCCTGGAACACATCCAAGAATTGTCATGGTTCTACATTTGATACGAAACCAAAAGGGAAATAGCTTACATCGATGTGCTCGCGCTTGGCAATGTTTCCCCAGTCTTTAGCGGCAACACCAGTCTTCCAGTCGAGATCGACCGCAACCACGGCTTCCTTGGCGTCCACATTCTCGAGCCAGAAGCAAGCAACGTAAACTCCCGTTGTGCTTGCTTTGAAACCAAACTGTCCCTTGTCAACTCCCTCGGCCAGATGGAGCGTGTATCCATCTGGATCAGACAGCTATGGAAACAAAATAAGAAGATGAGATGACCCAAGTTTGATCGTCTATCCATCACAGTTATTCCAATTACGCACCAAGGAAAGACATTGAATTGGAAACGTAAGCTAGATCTATCTCTCCAGTTGACCAAGCAAACACGCAGCAAATTTCTCCGGAGCAAAATCCGTCTAGAGTCTAGACAGCTTACCCGGGCGTGGATTTTGTGGATCGCCGGCTTGTCGAGATCCTTGGGATCGGTAACGCGATATTCGCCCAACACCAGCGCGCCAGAGTGGAGCTCCTCGTTCATGCACTTTGTGCGCTCCTTGTGGATCTCGAAGCTGAGCGATCGCGCGGGCGACACGCAGAGGAGCAGTGAGATCACAAGGACGGAGAGCGCGGCCGACAGCGCCTTGGCCATCGCCGGAGAGACTGCGGTAGACCTAAAATATCGCTAAGGGCAGATTTGACTATAAAAGAGAGTGGGCAAAAGGGGTAAAAGATACACAAGTTTCTCTTGATCGATCGATCGCTCGCTCGATCGCGCTCGAAATCCTCGATCGCAATGGCGGTAAGGATCGGATTCTCTCGCTTCTTGGTGCTTCTTTCGCTGGCGGCGACTGCCATGGCGGCGTGTAACTTCACAGCCGCGCAATCGTGCGTCTCCAAGCCATCGCTCAATCTCCTCTTCTACTGTCACGTCCCTCTCTCCAATGCCAGCGCCGCGCAGCTCCAATCCGACTCTGCCCCGCTGCTCGGATCTTCCAATCCGGCCGCGATGGGCGCTGGCAGGGTTTTCGATTACAAATGCACGCCCACGCCAGATCCATCCACACCGCCCTACTGCCGCGCCCGCGGCGTCTCCTTCGAGGATTCTCGCAATGGCACCCAGATCATGGTGAGCGCAATCGCGATGGCGGCCGCGCCGGGCACGAATTCTACCAACAGCACGACGACGATCAGGCCGCGGGGATCGATGAGCGTGGCGGGTGAGATCCTTGGCAGCGGGAACTACAGCACGAGCGCGGTGGTGGGCGGCGTGGGGGATTTCCTGGCGGTCGCTGGCGAGATCAACATCTCCACGTACAATGTATCGGGCGATGGTACGGACATGGTGCTCAAATTTATGGCCAGGATCGTCTTCCCGCTCTACATTTGAATAGATTTACCCGATAAACTAATTTATTTTCTATTACCCCGCCAATACCTCATTACTATAAATTTAAAGTGTTTAGTTCAACTGATTCAACAATCACTATTCCTAAAATATTAGTTATAATTACTAGTTAATTATAAAATAATAATAGAAATAGAGCTAACCTTTGTTCAACATGCTAGCTCAAGAATCTTGAGGCTGCTGGAGGCTCCATTTGTGGGAATTGACAACACCTAGGTGGATCCTCTTGATCCTATATTAATTAAAGTTTGTGCAGTATAATGAATCATTTGAACCATAAACATTCAATTTAAATCACATTCAATTACTCCTATTTTTATGCTACAATTATATTTTTGCTTATATATATTTCTTCTAAGTGCATATAAGGCAATCCCCCTCCACAACTATGACACACCTTATCAACCTTGCCTTTGCATATTAGAATCACCTCCATAAGAATTTATTCTTGATACAGAAAAAGAATGGTGACTTTGAAGCCGAATAGAAACCTCTACTTTATTAGTCAATTAAGTTTACTAGAATGGAACCAATAAAATCATTGAGCTGAGCAACTTCATTATCTAGCATATATATATCTACTTGGGTAATGGAATTTAGAGACAAGTCTATGGAATTCTAAGAGAGTGTGGAGTTCTGGAGTCAAGGGAAAATCATGTAGGGAAACTTAACAAAAGAATTAGACACTAGAACAAGAGGAGAAAAGAAAGTTAAAAGGAAACAAAGAAAAGAAAAGAAAAAGATAAAAACAAAGGAAAATAAAAAAGAGATGGAAACATGAAACCAAGGAGAAGGACCACTTACTTAGACTCTAACTTAAAGCTTCCTCACCTCTGGAAAGTGCCTCAAACATAACCCAATTGCTCTCAAAGTTCATAGGGAATGAAGTGATAGAAGTGAATGTGTTGCCTCGGGGTGGTAATTGTGAGAACAATGGCTTAACAGATGAATGATGGAAAGTACTGGTGGCCAATTGTAATGGAATGATAGTGGAGGGGA